CCTCCTTCGCCTCACCCCCGAGGCCCTGGCAGGGGGGCCGAGGCCCTGGCCGCAGGGGCCGCCCTCGCGCCGTGGCGCGGCGGCGCGGCCGAGCGCTCTCCTAGCCGCCCTCTCGGCCTTTGGGTAGGCTCTTTTGCGGGGCTTCGAGGGCTCTTTGGCCTCGCTCGGGCGTTTTTTTGTTGCTGTTTGTGTGTTGTGTGTTTGTGTGTTTGTGTGTGTGTGTGTTGATGTTGTGCTCTTTGTTCTTCTTCTTCTTCTTCTTCTGTTTCTTTTACTTATTATCCTTACTCTTCTCGGCGAGGGTCATCGAGGAGCATCTGGTGGATCCTCTCGCGGCAGAACAAAAAAGACGCGCAGGATACCGAAACGTGCACGGGGGGTGGACGCCCGAGCGATTGCGAGCTGGCAGGCCGCTCGGGAGGAGAAGCCGGCCCCGCGGATGGGGGCCGAGGCCTCTGAGGATCCACGACCTGTGAGGTGTCACGACGTCGGGTGACTTAGGTGACGACACCTGCTGCGGGCAGCTGGTTTCGGCTGCACCGCCGGGTCCCCCATTTCGTGGCCGCCCCCGGTGCCAGGAGGCGCCAGGCAGACCAGCTGCATATGGAGCTGATTTCCCCCCCCCTCCCCCCCCCCCTTAGCCCCTGCCTTAGACACCTGGGAGGAGATGTACCCCGAGTCGGCGCTGAAGCAGCTGGAGGGGGACTTCAGCGCCCACGTCCACCAGGGCTTCTCCTTCGTCCTGGGCTTCCTCATCGTCTTCCGGACCCAGCAGGCGTACTCGCGGTGGTCGGGGGTTGCCACGGGTGCCCCCTGCCCCAGGTGCCCCCGCTGTTCGTCCAGTGTTGTTGCCCCTGGGGCCCCCTCTGGGCCTCCGGGAGGGGTGCTCTGGGGGCTGTGGGGAGGCCCCCTTGCAATTCCTGGGGGCACCTTGGGCCATGGGGCGCTTCTGGCAACACCCGAGGTGGTGGGAGGGGGGCACCTTGCTGCAGGAGCTCAGGACAGGGAGCGTCAACTGGCCACCCATCGATTTGGGCGAGGTCAATCCTGGGCCTCAGATCAGTGTATTCTCCCCTTTGTCTCGGCCAGGCAGGCTCATGCCCCGTTCCTGGGCCCAGCATCGGCCTGGCCAGGAACGGTGAGGTGGTTGGTCGACGTCCCTCATATATCAGGGGCGAGTGGTTCAACGCGTTCAGCAACCTGATGGCATTTCTCAACCACGACGATGACCCCGAGATTCGGGCGAAGGTGGAGCTCTTCAAGCACAAGATGGCGCGCCTCTTCAGCCTGCTGTACGGCACGGGCATCGAGCAGGTGCACACGATGAAGACGCCGCCCCGGATGCAGTACATCGACCCCACGGGCTTCCGCAACGTGCTCGCGTACATGCACTCGAGCGGCACGCACGACTCCTGCGAGCTGGTCCTCCAGTGGATTCAGAGGCTCATCGTTGAGGCCAACACCGACAACATCATCAAGATCGCTCCCCCCATCCTGGCCCGCGTCTACAACCAGCTCGGGAAGGGGATAGTCACTTTGAACCGGGCCCGCAAGATAAAGGAGTTCATCGTGCCTTTCAATCTCGCGCAGCTCATCGCGGTGCTGCTGATCGTGCACTGGATCTCCACCGCGATCGTGTGCGCCATAATGCTGTCGAACCCGGCGATGGCCGGGCTCACGTCCTTCACCATTTGCTGGGCGTTTTGGGGCGTGAACTACATCGCGGTGGAGCTGGAGAACCCTTTCGGGGACGACTCCAACGACCTGCCGCTCGTCGAGATGCAGGAGGACATGAACCAGAGCATCATCAGCCTTCTGCGCCCGCACGCCATCCGGCCCCCAGTGTTCGATTTCGACGCGGCCCGCGACGCGGACCTGGAGAAGGCGCTCTCGATGGACTTTGCAGCGCACGAGAACCTTGGGAACGGGGGGTCCACTTCCTTCTCGCGGTTCCGCAAGAATCGAAGAAGACGAAACGGCACACAGTCGACCCGCACAGCCGCACAGAAAGGATGGGCCACCTTCCCAAGGGTACCCTCGAATCCTCCCCTCCTCGGCCCATCCTTGGCCACTTGCGTTGGCCGCGCCCCGCTCGAAAATATTCGAGATGGTCGTCAACAGCCCTTGCATCCTTATCGCGCATCCTTCTGGTACGGGCCGGCTGTAAGCATAAACTTTTGACGGTCCGCGCGGATCTCTTGGACCTGCGCTGGACCCCCCCCCCCCCGCGCCAGGGGCGGCGCCCGAGGCGCCGCCAGGGGAACCCGGCGCAGAACCCCAGGAAGCCCGCGCGGGCCGTCCGAAGCGCCCGCTCCCGCCGCTCCGGCTTCCTCCCGAGAAGCCGCCCCCCCTCGTGGACAGCTGCGTCGAGGGCAACTGCTTCTCCGGCAGCGGCACCTACGGCCTTCACCACCCACCAAACCACCCCAACCCAACCCCAAGGCCCCAATTCATCCTCGATTTCCAGTGGGGGGGGGGGGGTCGTGGAACATCGAGAAAACGCATCTGGAACCCGTACCCCCCCCCCAACCCGAAATTCGGGCCTTCGGGTTGGGGTTTGGGTGGTCTGGTAGGTAGTCAGGCCTGGCCGACGACCCGTCCTACCGGGACAGCCAGCTCGCCGCGCGGAGCCCGCCCGCCGGCCCCGGCGCCGCGCCGGCCGGCCACGGCGGGGCCCCCGCGCCGCTCGCCGCCGCCCCGGTGGGCCGGCGGGAGGCGCCCGAGGTGCAGCGGGCGGAGCGCGGCTCTCACGGGCAAAAGGCGCCGAGGTGAGCACGAGCGCGCCCTGTGGTCGCTGGGCGGGGGCGGGGGGGTTGGAGCCGGACCCCCCTCCGCCCCCCTGGATGGAGGGGGGGGGGTTCGAACCCCCCTCCCCCCCCTCCCCGCGACGGAAGGGGGCGGGCGGGGGGTTCGAGTGCTGGCCCCCTGGCCACACTAAACACCCACCGCCGCAGGAACAACCAACGGGCCGCAGTAACACCTTATCTCGGGTTCGAACCCCCCCCCTCCCCCCCTTCCCCTTCCCCTCCCCTTCCCCCTCCCCCCCTCCCCCTACCCCCTTGCCCTCCCCCCCTTCCCCTCCTCCCCTCCCCCCCCCCCCTCCCCCCCTCCCCCTCCTCCCCTACTTCTCCTCTCTCCCTCTCCTCGGGCCGGTGCCTGGGTTCGGAACGGGCTCCCTGTTCCTCTGGTCCGTCCATGGCTGTCCCTCTAGCTGCACAGTCAGCCCGCGCAGTCAGGATGGGCGGTCGTCCCAAGGTGGTGCCCTTGCATCCTTGCCTCCTCGGTCCAGAGCCTTGGCCACGTGGGCGGGCCGCGCCCCTCTCGAAGAGCTTCGAAGTGGGCGTCCAGGGCCCTTGCATCCCTACCGCGCATACTTCTGATACGGGCCGACTGTGCTTGTGCACGCAGGCGCGTCTTGGGCCAGAAATGACGAACGAGCAACACACACCCATAGCCCGGCTCTGTCTAAACTTGCCGCCGTCCGGGGGGCGCCTGGCCCAGGGCGGCCGGGGAGCTGATGCGGCCCCCCGTTCGGCCTCGTCGCGTCGTGAGGGAATCGCGACGGGCGGCGTTTGCCATTTTTTTGTTTCATCGCTTCGCTCATTCCGCCGGCCCTGGAGCGCTCTATGGGGCCTCTTTGAAGCCTATTGGGGGCCTTTTGGGGGCCTCCTAGGGGCCTCTTGGGGGCCTCTTGGGGGTCTCTTTGGGCTCCTTGGCGGCGTCTTGGGGCCCCCTTGGGCCTCGGGCCTCTTGGACGGCGTTTGCAATTTTTTTATTGTTGGGGGCCTCGCCAGGCCCCGGGGCCTGTCATGCAGCCGCCGGGGTTGAAGGAAGAGCTGGCCCTCGGGGAGAGGTCCAGAGCTCTGGGGAGCCACGCTGCGGCAAAAATATCACGACGTCGGATGCGCCTGGGTCCAACACGGGTAGCTTCGATGAGGAATCGGCCTGCCCGCAGGTGCCCCACCGAAATGTCTCATCTCCCGATGCCCTCTGGGACACGCAGAAGCTCTTGGGCACCCTGGCAATCTGGCAGTTCGACGAAGAAGGTGGCCCAATATTTTCTTCTAGAGCACGGTCGATTTCGATCTGATCGGCTCCGATGTTCTGACGGTCCGAGGCGGTCCGATGTCTGCTCCCTGTCGTGCATCCTGGTGCAGAGGGGTCCGATGCGATTCTGATTCCGGGCCGATGCAGCCCGATGCGATACACGTGTGGAATCGATCCGATGTCCCGATTCGAGGCTGACTGATCCCGTCCCGTAGCACGATTTCTTATCGCATGAGTACCCACCGGTCGTTGAAAGTAGGTATTTTTGGATTCCCAGATTCCAATCTAGTTTCAGCGCCTTCCTACCTCAAGAGTCGAGTGGTTTTCCCTCTCCCTTCCTCTTCAGGTCTTCAGGAGGCGGGCGGAAACCCAATCTATTTCCAACGCCTTCCTACTTTTATGTTTCTACCTACTTCTGCCGACCGATTGGGTACGGTCAAGACGCCGAAGTGATGAACAGTTTGGGTTCGGAAGGGGCTCGGCGCTCCTGAGGTGCTTCCGTGGCTGTTCCTGCAGCCCTCGTCAGGCACGCAGGCGCTCCACTGGGGCCCCAAAAGGGAGGGGTTTCGTTCCTATTCGTCGCTCCTTCCTCCGGCAGCCCGACTGTCTGCGGTGCACTGCTCCGTTTCTTCGCCCGCTGGGAGGTGCCCTCGCCGGCGTCGCCGGCGAACAGCCTGGCCGCCCTGCTGCCGCGGGCGCCGTCTGATGGGCCCGCCCCCGCCCGTGGCGAGTGGAACCGGGGCGCTGGCCCGCGACGGCTCTCGAGATCGAGCTTGGGCCGGGGTGGCGAGCCCCACCTCGCGAGCGCGGCACATGCCTCGGGGAGCCCGCAGGTCTCGGGAGAAGAAACCCCAGATCCCCGAGTATATGCTGGGATCACCGCGGGGGTTGCGAAGTAGATGGGGGGGTTACGAGTGGATGCCAGGGTCGGTTATATCTGGCCCACCCTGGCTTACAAGTGGGCTACAAATTCCGCAAATAGCTGAGAGGGGGTTGACGATCCGGGCTGAATGGGCTCCGCCCACTTAGCCGAGTTATCTACCCCCCAGGGAACTTGCAACCAACTTCTAGCCAGGTTGGACCAGATACAACCCACCTTGGCATCCACTTGTAACTCCCCTTTCCACTTATATAGCAACCCCCGCGGCGATCCGAGTGCATATATATATATATATATATATATATATATATATATATATATTCCTCTTCCTATATTTTTACAAGCCCGGGCGGCCGCAAAACCCCGCACCCCCCCCCCCCCCCAAACCGGACTCCTGGGATCTGGGGCTTTGGGACCCTCCGGACGGGCCTCGAAGCGGCCCCCCGGGCCTCGCAGGGTGTTTTGCCAAGCCTTCCCAGCACACCTAGGGCGATCGGGGGGGTCATCGGAGACGTCCCAGAGACCCCCAAGACAGCACAAGAGCGCTCCAAGAGTGACCGACGTGACCTCAAGATGGCCCAAAAGGCCTCCAGGACGGCCCCAAAGAGGCCTCCAAGAGCACCCCCAAGAAGGCCCCAAGAGGCACAAATATTTGATTTTCTGTTGGTTTTTGCTGAATTTGGGGGTTCTCCTTTTTTCGGCTTCCCGACACTCCAAGACAGCGGTCTTCTGGGCGTCCGAAGCCGCCTGGGAGGCTCCAACATCGCCCCACAACCATCCGAAAGGGCTTCCAGGCAGTCCAAGAGAGCCCCAAAACGGCACAACACGGGTCCAAGATGGCCCTCAGAGAGCCCCATGGCGGCCCAAGATGGCCCCAAGACACCCTCCGAAGCATTCCAAATCGTGACCCGGTCGTTCAGGGAGACCGCGGTTGGAGGCAGGGTGGCCCGAGGAAGTCCCCAGAGGCCCCCAGAATACGCCCAGGAGGCCTCCAGAAGGCCTTAAGAAAGCCTGAAACAACTTTTGTGAGGCCCCCAGAGGCTCTCCCAGGAGGAGCCTCCGCCAAAAAGAGCTGAGGAGGATGGGGAGAATGTGCAGGGTACGGCGAAAGTAAGGAACAATAAGCATGGAGGAAGGATAACGAATAACATTGTCATAGCGGCGATGCCGGAAAAGGCAACAAGGAGTTATCGCTAAATTGTCGGCTTGACCTTCCTGTTATTCCGCCTGCATGCCAAACTTCAAGGACCAAGGTGCATGGCGCGAAGCGCCACTGCAGTCTTGTATATATATATATATATATATATATCGGGCGTTCCAAACAGAGCCTTGCCTTCGAGAATCTATGGAGTTGTTGCCTCTTCCTCGGCGGAAGGCGGCGGAAGGGTGGCGGAAGGTCGGTGGAAGTAAATCGAGGCCGCCTCCGCCAGCCGAGGCCGGCGGAAAGGCGGCGGAATGCGGCGGAAGTAAAAGATGTACCCCAACACATGAACATATTTTTGGGTTCAGGGTTCCCGAAATCGCATATATATATATATATATCTATGTATATACACATTGTGGTGGGAAATAGGGGCAGCCGATGAGACGATAAGACGATCTGACGCTGAGACGATATGAGACGATAGTGCGATAAGACGGTATAGGACCTCGCCAGACGATACGACGATAAGACGATCAGACGATAAAGGGCCGGGCCAGACGATAAGACGATAAGGCGCTAATATTCATCGTATTATCGCCTTATCGTGTTATCGTCTTATCACTCAAAGCTATAGTTATCACCCATGGGTCATAGCTGTGCTGTGTCACACATAGTCACTCACGACGACGCCGACGACGACGACGACGTTCGCGACGACAAAGACGACGATGACGACGATGACGATTCCAGCTGAAGCTGTCTCCATAAAGTGGGAAGCCGTCCCCATAAACAGGGATATTCCGACAGGGCGGGGACCATGACGACGACCACGAGGACGACCACGACCACAACCATGACGATGACGACGGCCGTGACGACGACGATTCCAGCAGAACCTGGTTCCATAATTCGGCAACCCGTCCCCATAAACAGGGATACTCCGACAAGGCGGCGACGACGACGACCACGACGACGACGACCCAGGCTTATCGTCTTACCATCTTATCGTCTTCTCGTCTCACCACCCACAGCTATACTTATCACCCATGGGTCGTAGCTATACTGTACTATGCGATTCAACGGGGCAGCGATTGGCTCCCCTCAGGGCTCTCCCCTTTCTGGAGCCCGAGCGCCCTACCTTGGCCTCCGCCCATCAAGGCGCCTCACTTGGGAGCTCGCCTTGGGGGGCTTCTGTTGCCACGCTATACGCTATGCCACGCCATGTCATGCAATGATCTGCTGCAGTCAATCCGCACAAGTGAGGATGGGCAACCTTCCCAAGGGTGCCCTTGCATCCCTGCCTCCTCGGCCGCTTTCGCTGGCCGCGCCCTGCTCGCAGAGTGTCGACATGGCCTTCCGAAGCCCTTGCATCCCTGCCGCGCATCCTTCTGACACGGGTTGACTGTGCGCTGTGCTGTGCTATGCGATCCAACGGGGCCCCGACTGGCTCCCCTCGGGGCTCTCCTCTCTCTGGGGCCCGAGTGCCCCGCCTCGGCCTCCGCCCACCAAGGCGCCTCACTTGGGAGCTCGCCTTGGGGGTTCCTCCCCAGAATCGAGCCAGGGAGTTGTATCCCCCTCCCCATCCAAAAACCGTTTCTCTGGGAGCGGCTTTCGGGCTTCTTGGCGGTCCCGGGGGCCTCTTGGAGCGTCTTGGGTGCCTCGGGGGACCCAGCCCCTCGGGGCCTCGGTCTCTCCCATACCTCCCATACACCGAGCGATTTTGGTTCGAGCCACTCGCAATCCAAGTGGCTCGGGCCGGGGGGGCCCTTCCAGGACGCAGCCACGATGCCCAGTGCGTCTTCGCTGCGCGCGCTGCACTACCGCGAAGTCGAGCCGGAAGACTAACGAGATGTTATAGAGTGTCTTGAAGGATGTCCCAAAGCAGGATGGCATCCTTGCGTGCCTCTTCAAGTACTTGGAGCACGACGTGGCGAAGGGTGGCAGTGACTGCGGAGTGTGCGCGATGGCGTTGGACTCTGGCCACAGCTATTTCAAGCTGGGGTGCGGATGCGAGGCCCGCGCGGAGTGTCAGGAGCGCTGGCTCGCACAGAAAGCCACTTGCCCTGCCTGCGCCAAGCCAGTGGACGTAATGTCCTTGGTGCCTGCTCTATTTTGAGGGGCTGGTGCAAGGGAGGCGCTCGTGGCGGATCTTCCGGAGCCGCCGCCTTCGGCAGAGGATCCTGACGTCTTCAAATTGACGCAGCCAGCCGAGGGGAATTGGACGCATGGTTCAGATCCAGGGATTCGGACGTGCAGAGGGCTACAGCACCGCCCGATCCGGTGGGCGAGCACATCGCGCAGGTTCGGGTGGCCAGTACGGTGGACGAGCTCCACGACGCCATCTGGCCGAAGGGCTTGTTCGATGGAGCCTGGGACGAGAAGGAATTGGCGAATTACGCGGCCGCGCAGCTGGAACACATCGATGCTGACGGACGTACCCACCGCGAGATTTCCGCGGATGACCGTTTCGACCAGGGGCTTTACACCCCGATCCCTGTCTACGTCGCCGGCAGGAGCTATTGCTTCAAAACCGGCTGGCGCCACGAGTCCTACGAGCTCTTGATCGACAACAACCTCACCTTCCTGGAGCACCGCGGGACGTGGCTTGGCGCGGACCTGGAGCCTGAGCCAGGTGTCGTTGTTGGCGGTGCTGCCGGAGCTGGTCCGACGCCGCAGTTAATGGACGCGCCAGAGGCATGGGAGCCACGCGGCCACAAGACGACGGTGCTTGCGACGACGCTGCTGAGGCTCCGTTCAGGGGGCCGAAACGGGGCAACCCCGAGGTCGTCGAGGGGCCCCCGCTGTCAAAGATCGCCGGGTTCCCGTTGGAGGAAGTAGAGACAGCCGTGCAGGATATCGTGGGGGCAGCGGTCGCGGGCGCGCTCAGCCTCGCAAGCGCCTCCAAGTTGATCGCTGAAAAGCTTGGTGCCCCCGCCCGAGGCTATGATCCTGGATGCCGTGAGCTGTCGGGTGGCAGAGGCCGATTCCCCTGCGTCGCCCGCCCAGACGTCGGCGGGCGCCGGCGCGAACGTCGACCGCGTCAAAGTCCACCACGTGCATGCTAACAGTCACAACCTGCCTGTGATCCTGGCAGGCTCGCCATCCTCGAGGAAGAGCAGCCAGCGCGCGGCCGCGACAGCGTTCGTCACCCAGAATAAGTATACACCGCCGACCCTCCGGGACCGCGCCGCGTACCTGACCGAGGCCACGGTGAAAGGGATACAGACGGCGTTCCTGAACTAAGCAGGGCGTAGGCGACCAGCGACGAGATCGTGAACGCGATGGCCACTCCCTGGAGCGTCCAGAGCAGCGGCCTGCACCTCCTCCCGCGCGGCAAGTTTTGCACCTACCTGCAATGCGAGCCAGGTGATGTGCTTGCAGGTACAGGCACCGTGCACCTGACATTTTACGCCTTCCAATTTAAGGCGCGCGGACAGTACGAGGCCTGCGAGTGGAAGCTACGGCCCGGGGCCCGGGGCTTTCAGAAGAGACCGCCAATCGCATTCGCGCCGGAGAGGAGCCATTTCAACCGAGATGTGAAAGCTGGCCTGAGTGGCGGGCTCTGGCGGTCGCTGCACAGATGGATGCTCGTCGGCCCATGCGAACAGCAGTCGCACCTCTGCTGCGACGGCCAGGCTCGGATCATGCGGCACATCGTCCAAGTGGCGATCGCAGAGAGGCTCGACAGCATGGCCCAGTCCACGGCCCGCCTTAACAAGTACTTCATCATCAAATTGAACTTCGCGTTCTCGGGCATCCTCAGGTTCAGCGTAGCGGAGATGTGGAAAGCCATGTACTCGGAGTCGTTGGCCGCGCGCCTTCGAGTTCATGCGCGGCTTGCGGCAGTGGCTCAGGCAGGTCTCGCTTCGCGGCGGCTTTTATGCGTGCATCGCTGGCGCGGGGGCTGCTGTGGGGATGGGGCGCGATGGCCTGCGGGCGTTGGCTGGCGCCTTCGAGAAGGCCGCTCCGCCCCGCGCCGCCCATCGTGGTCTGCAAGGGGTCGACGCGGCGACGCGCGAGTTCTTGAAGTATAAGACGAACAACTACCGGGTCTTCTCCGCGTCCGATGCGCGGAGTTCGCTGCGCAACATGATCAATTCAAAGAGTCTGGCCGAACAGATCAAGGAGGCGCGCGCCTCGTTTGTGGAGGCCGGTCTGCCGGCGGTGCCCAGCGACGTCGACGTGGGCCGGGAGAAGAAGAAGCGGGGGCGCAAGGTCCAGATGTAGCAGAAGGTAATGGCCGCAGGTCTGGGCGCCAAGGCCGTTGATGAGGTCGGCCGCTTGCGCGGCTCCACGGGCCATCCCATCTGAACCGGGGCTGCGCGCGAGCGCGAGTTGCCGGGGGATAATCGGGCGCTGCGTTGCGCTGGGGGGCGCGGGGCCTCCCATGTAATTCATTGTGTGCAAGTGTCGGCTGCGCGTGGCTCGCCGCGGCAGCCGCGCCGCGGGGGCGCCGGGGGCGCGCGCGAGAACCGTCGACGCGCCAGAACAGCTGCAGCAGCGCAACAATGAGCAAACGCGGGACGCACGTACGCGTGCAACGCATATTTTGCATCACGTAGCTTGCAACATCTATATATATATATACATATATACATATATATATATATATATATATATATATATGCATAGCAACCCGTAGGATGCATCACGCAAACTGAACCACGTAGATTGCGCCGCATGGGTTGCGCCGCGTTGACTCTCCTTGCTAAAAACAGAGTAGACTCCCCCCCCCTCTCCCCCGGCGTTATCACTCCCCCTTTCGGGTAAGTAAATTATAGATGTTTCTGACCACATGTCCCACCTGCCCATCCTAAATATGAATTTACAGTGTCCCAGGCCAGCCGGGCTCCCCCCCCTGAGGTTTTTTTTTTTCGTCCCACGAATATAGACGCCGCATATTTTTTATTGTTTAATTTAAATATGTTCGTTTTTTCATATACATACATATATATATATATAAATATGTATTTTTATATATATATATATGAAACACCGCATAGTGTTTATATATATTCATAAACACTATGCGGTGACATGCGCTTCTAACGTAGCACTTGTTCGCGAAACCCTTGCAACAAATGGGGCGAAATGCGCGCGCGCGTCGTCGCGCGCGCGTGCCGAAATTCTTCAAAAACCTTCGGTGCCGGAAGGATTTCGCAATCGAGTTTCCCAAACAAACATACAAAAACACATGGTTTCGCAACGCTGATTTGCTACAAAAGCGTACGCGCGAGCTCCTACGTAATCTTAAGAAAATCATGGGTTTTTTTCAAGATTTTCACAACATGCTACCAAACGGGCTTCGCGCGCGCATGTCGAAATCTGTCGAACGCCCTTGCGCGTGTGCCGTCGCGAGAATCCTTTGCAACAAATGGGACGAAGTGCAGACGCGCGCATCGTCGCGCGCGTATGCCGAAATCCTTCAGAAACCTTCGGTTTCGGAAGGATTTCAAAATCGCGTGTCAAAAAAACATACGACAACCCAAGGTTTCGCAACACGGATTTTCAACAAAAGCGTGCGCGCGCGCTCTTGCGTCGTCGTCGTCGTCGTCGTTTTCCCTCCTCCCTCGTCGTCGTCGTCGTCGTCGTCGCCGCCGTCGTCGTCTTCTGTCTTTCCTCGTCGTCGTCGTCGTCGTCTTGGCGTCGTCGTCGCTTCCGTCGTCGTTGTCGCCGTGGTCGTCCTTCCTTCCTCGTCGTCTTCATCGGCGTTTCGTCGTTGTCCCTCCTATTTCGTCGCCGTCGTCGTCGTCGTCGTCGTCGTCGTCGTCGTCGTCGTCGTCTTCACTCCTCCCTCGTCGTTGTCCTCTTCCCTCGTCGTCGTCGTCTTCCGTCGTCGGCGTCTCGTCGTCCCTCCTATTTCGTCGGCGTCGTCGTCGTCTTCGTCGTCGTTGTCGTCGTCGTCGTCTTCCCTCCTCATTCGTCGTTGTCGTCGTCGGCGTCGCCGTCCTTCCTCCTTCTTCGTCGTTCGCGTCGTCGCCGTCTTCCCTCCTCCATCGTCGTTGTCGTTGTCGCCGTCGTCGTCCTCCCTCCTCCCTCGTCTTCGTTGGCGACGTCGTCGTCGTCGTCGTCGTCGACGTCGGCGGTGTCGTCGCAGTCGGTGTCGGCGGCGCCGTCGTCGTCGTTGTCGCTGTCGTTGTCGGCGTCGGTGTCGTGGCCAAGTGCCATATGGTACTTACCGTCACGGTCTTGTCTTAAGAGGTTTTGCGACCAAGTTGCGGGTGGGAGGGTGGGATGTTTGCACGAGCAGTAGAGAGGACAGCTTCAAGACGGTCACAGATTAGGTTGCACCACGTAGATTGCACCGCGTAGACTGGTCCACGTAGATTGCTTGCGCCACGCTTGCTAGTATTTTCTGGCTGTCCTGCCACCCGGCTGTCTCATCGCCCCCGTCGTCAGCGCCGTCGTATTTAGGGCAGCGCCAGAGATTATACGGTTTTCTAACGCATATTGTTTTGGGTCCACGATGACTAATATTTTCTGGCTGTCCTGGCGTTGCGGGAAGCGCCAGGAATTGTTCGCCCGCCTTCTCATCGCCCCCATCGTCAGCACACGCCCCTCGAAGGGGCGGGTGGATAGGATCCGTGGCAGAATTGGGGGCCCGCGACCCCCCGCGCATTTTCATGCCACCGCCAGTTAACCAGGGGTGCGCGGCCAATCATTGCCTGCTGCGCTGGGGGTCGGCATTGGAGGGCTCCCCGTTCAAACCTCGCTGGGCTCAGTTTTGGCGGGCGCCTTATAGAAACCTCGGGGGGCTCTGCTTTGCAGGGCGCCCTGGAGAAACCTCGGAGGGCTCAGCGTTTGGGGGGGGGCTCGGAGAGCTCAGCGTTGTGCATGTGCATGGTAGTACATCCAAGTCGGTGCGTGTGCTAGCTTGTGCATATGCGCAAGTGTCCTCCGTTGCCATTCGCGGCCCCAGACGATCTTCCGCGCGGGTAGCAGCACCCTGCATGGCGGCGCCATGCAGCGATGATCGTGAAGGTTGGCCGAAGCGCTTGCCCAGGAAACCACGCATCACTGCCCTGTGGGAGGGGCCCCCGCCACCTCGGCCGGCCGAGAGAGGGCGCCGCGGACGCAGCCGCTCTCCGGCGAATATCAGACCCGCATGTGCCGCGGCGGTGTTAGCGGAGCCCCAGCAGGCGACTGCCGTCCAGGGCTCGCGGGCCACGGCCTCCGCGTGCTCTTGGAACGAGGATTGTCTCAGCTTGGCCAGGCGTCTTCGAGCCGGGCAGGCGCCCCAAATGCTGGCGCGCCTGATGGGCGCGCGCCTTTCCCATCTTGGCGATGTCGATGACGCGCCGTCGTGCGCGGTCTGGTCTGCCAGGCGCCGCGTGCAGGCGACCTTGCGGGGTCGGAGCGCGATGGTCCTCGACGCGTTCTTGTGGCGTCTCATCCCGGTGGTGGACGTATCCAATATTGTGGAGGAGCGCGAGTCAGGCGTCTCCTGCATATTGTATGGCGTGGGCACTCGCAAAGTATCGGAGCTCGAGGACATCGGGCTCGCATATATTGTGGCTCGCCGCAGCGATGGACGCTTGCGCCTGGAGAGAGTAGTCGGCGGCGACGCTGAGGCATCGGCTGCCGAAGAGTCTGGCTTCCTTGCTGCCTTGGCCAAATACGCCGTTGAACGCGTCGATCTTGGCCGCCGGGCCACGCGGGGCGCGGGGGCGCGCGGCCGTGGACGCGCGACCCCCATGATGCCAAAAGGTGCTCGTCAGCATGCCGCTGAGACGGCAGCCCGCGGTCGGCCACGCATGGTTTTACCCAGTGTCCACGCGCGGTGTGAGCACGCGCGCCTTCTAGACATGCCGCTGTCTTGGGCTTTCACAGCCGATCCATGGAGGTGCAGCGCATGCCACAATGAAGCAACGGCACGCCTTGCATCCACCGCGCTGTTGGAGGTGGGTCGCAGACGTCATGCTGGAGCGGGGGTGCGGTGCTGGGCCGTCCGCGACGAGGGCGTGAAGCGCGAGTTCCCAGACGTGATCATCCACCGGGGTCGCTCTGGGAGGGATGACCCGGTCTGTGTGACTGCGCGCCTTGTGCTCGGAGCGTGCGCCCCAATCGACGAGTGGTTCAATGCGCGGGAGATCCCGCTGCTTAGTGCTCGTCAGCGCGGCTTGATCCAGCGCGGCGGTCCTTCCGCGACGGTCATGCGCCATTTGGGATTTCGTGGCACGTGTCGACGGTGCCGAGATGCGCTGTGCTGCAGTCCTTCATGCTCAAAGGGTTTTGCTGGTTCCGTGGACGCGCGCGTCCGTGTGATGCGCCAGGGGCAGCTGCTGCGCAGCGGGCGCGGGATCCCTGTTGACGGGTGCTACAAGTTGGCCCATATCATCAACGACAGCGATGGCCACGTGCCCCGGCCGTGCGCGGCCGTGATTGGCTTCTGCGGGGTGGGCGGCTCTCTACTCGAGCCTTGCGGCGCTTGCGCGGAGTCTTGGGGGGGTGCCGAGGCGAAGCTTACGCCGTTGGTCCGCGACATCCGCGTCTGCGGCCTGCAGGCCAGCCTCGCGCTCGACGAGGCGCTGCCCGTGTTCCATTGCGCCGACGTGCGCAACAATCACCGGCTTCAGTTCGCCAATCTGCGCAGCAAGATCTGGGGCGATCTCGGCATTCGGGTCGTCGCTCGCGCGCCAAAAGGGCCCGCGACTAGCGTCCAACAGGGCGCCGGCCCGCGCCGTGTCATCACGGGGGGCCCAGCCCACGACGCAATCAATTTCTTGGAGGCGCTAAGCCACGTGCTCGGTGGTGCATCCGACGCCGAGTGCGACCGCGTCGACCTCGCCGCGCGGCTTCCAGGCGCGGACCGCCCCGCCGAGCGGGGGGCCGCGCCCCGGCCGGCGACGCCATCAGCAGGCGCCAAGCAGTTGCTCCGCGGCGTTGCCGTCGCCGACTCCCAGCAAGCAAGCGCGCTAATTTGGGCGCGGGCGCGTGCTGCCCGGGAAATGCGAGCGCATCTGGAAGCCCGGCGCTTGCGGCGGAGCGACGTCTGGGAAGAAACATTTGGGGCGCAACCTCCACGCGGGACGCTTGCCTGGCTCGCCCGGCGATTCCAGGCAAGCTGGAGTCCTCTGAACGGGCCGCGCGTGGACGAGCTTGAGGTCCTTTATGCGCGAGGCGCGGAGGATCGAGGCGCGGCGCAAACCTGGGCGGAAAACGACGACGCGGCGCAGGGGGGCGTGGCGGACCAACCGGCCAGCTCCTGCGCGCCAGCTTGTGGCGAC